ATACATCTAGATGAATATTTATATAAGCTTATGATGACTTGACTTGTGTTTGGCTTGTATTTGTTTTATTTTAACTTATAGTTTGTTATGCTTATGATGATTTGGTTTGTAGTAAATGTTTAACTCTTATCTAATATTTATCTTATACTTTATTTTGTATGCTATTGAATGATATTTACATACTATTTATTCTATATTACATACGAATGATATTTACATACTATTTATTTTATATTACATACAAATGATATTTGCATACTATTTTACCTCACATTGAAAAATCATGAAAGATTCAAATGAATATACGTCAAGTTGAACTGAAGGTTGGGATGTAGATGTGGTGTATCAACTACTTCCCTTATGACAACAAGACATAACTGAACGAGAAGAAATATATGAATTAATTAGTGAATATGTGATGCCATATGTGTGTAAAGAGCTATGGAGAACTAGCAGGAAAATAAGGCAAATTTGGGTGAAAGAGATTTTGCAAGGTCATCCTAATTGTTGTTATGAAATGTTTTGAATTGAAAAACATTTGTTTAGGCAACTGTGCATGACACTAGTTGATCTTGGTCTAAAAAAGTCTAAAAAATGGGAATTAAAGAAATGTTTGGAATGTTTTTAAATACAGTTGGACATAGAGTTGGTCATAAGATGATATAGGAACGTTTCCAACATTTAAGGGAAATGTCCATGGAAATTTTTATAAAGTATTAGCTACCTGCCTTAACCTAGCTAAGGCAAATATAAAGCCACTTGATCATTTATTTTAATGATGTCATTTGAAAATTCAAAATGATCTGATATTGGCCATTTTTTAAGGATGTTATAGGAGCAATTGGTGGCACTCATATGCCATGTGTGATTAGTATTGCTGATCAAATCAAATTTATTGAAAGAAAGGGATATGCAACACAGAATGTCATGGTAGTATGTGATTAAGACATGTGTTTTACTTTGTGATTGCAGGATAGGAAGGTACGGCTCATGATGCCTGAGTATTTGATAATGACATATCAACTCCTTTAATGAATTTTCCACATACATCTCCAGTTATCTTTTATTAAAGTCACAATAATTATTATTGCATTGATTTAATGTTGGTCAAATTTGCAATACTTCCTTTTATTTAATAGGTAAATATTATTTGGTTGATTTTGGTTATACAACACTAAATGAGTATCTTGGTCCATATTATTGTGAACATTATTACTTTTTACACTTCAGGCGAGTTGCACGATTTACAAATAATAATAAGGTCTTCAATTATTATCAATCAAGTTTAAGATGCACTATAGAAAGAACCTTTGGAATGTGAAAAAATAGATTTGCAATTATACAAAAAATGCCCAAATTTAGATATAAAACACAAGTTAAAATTGTTTATATAACAATGGCAATGCATAACTTTATCAAGAAAATTTAATTACTGTGAGCAATTCATACAAGTCAAAGATGAAAATATAAATGTCCATGAGGAAGATATTGATATTGGTGATCCATCCTCATTAAATCTACCTAAATCTTCAGGGCAGATGTAGTATGTTCGTGATATAATTAGAGATCAATGTGTAAATCACGTCAATTGAATATGAATTTATTTAGGTTTTCATGATTGAATATTTAAAATATTTTACTTATTAGTTGTAATTTTAAGTTTAATATCTTTTACTTATTAGTTAGTCAAAAAAATATATGAAAAAAATCATGCTTATTTTTGCCATTAAATATTTCAATTGGCTTTTAAATCAAATCATCTAAACAAATTTCAATTTATCCAACTGACTTTTTTTTAAAAAAAGGTATCTATACATAAATCACTTTACATTAATTAACTTTTTTTTAACCTCAGTTTGCTAATCTCAATTTAATCCTAACCTAAGTTGCAAATTTTTTAATCCAAACACAAAGATAATCATATATTAAAATTATATTTCTAGTTGTTTCAACCCTCGGACTACCACACCCAAGAGTATATTTTGGATTTTTGAGGGAGCTTCCCATGGTAAGAAGCTCCAAGAATAGTCAATTTATGATTAATAATTAATAAATAGCATTAATAACTAATCATCATTAATTAACTTTAACCATAGTTAAGGTCCTAATCACTCATTAATTATTATTAACCAAAATAAACCCCATTTCTCACTCAGACTAACTTATATAACCCCCCATTTAGCTTAATAAACGCTATTACCTATCTTCATTAGTTTAAACTAGCTTACTTAGAATTGAGGTTAAACTTAAACCTATTATTAATGACACTAACTACCATCAATAGTAATAACTAATGATTAGAAACTTAAAACAACACTCCTAGACTCCATGAGAGTCATTAAGATGGTACAACTCCATTGGGATTTCAGACATTACTCTCCCATACATAATAACTCAAGAAAAATGAATCGAAGAGGAAGGGGAAAAGAAGAGAAAGCTTACCTAAGGATTTAGCAACCCTAAACAGCTTTGATCTCTCTTGGTCACTCTTCAAATTTTCTTTTTGTTTTCTGTCCAAGACATGTCTTTATGAATTTAAAATCCAATGCATCCATCATAATAGATGATGGGAACCCTAATTAAGCCCAATTATTTAGGCCTAATAGCTTTCTTGGACTATATTAAAGCCCTATATAAGGTTTAATGGACCTAAATGACCATCCATTACTCTAATTAATCCAATTAAGACCTAATCAATTAATTTAACCTTCTACTTAATTTAATTAAGTCTATTTTAAATTTTGAGATGTCATAGTCTTCTAGATCTCTGATGTATTCCATTCTCATGACTTAAAAATAGATCTCAAACATTTAGTGAAATTACAACTTTAAACATTCTTAGATACCAAAAATGCAACCCTTGCATTATGGATCTAAAGAGGCAAGTCATTCAACATCTTCCACTAATAACTTCTCGAGATATTTGATGGGCTCCACCATGAATGAGGGGGAATATTTTTGGGCAACGGTATTATGGTATATTGAAATTATATTATAATTATATATATTAAATATTTTTATTTAAGCATTCTTATGGCATAATAAACATGACTTTTAAACCCCGTTCTCACTCTCAATCACAATCCCAATATCTTAAAACTTCATCCTCTATCCCAAACAAAGCCTAGGAGTATTGAAATAGAACGACAATAGGCGTTGAGAAGAGAATGATTTGGGGGGAAGAAATATCATTTAAGGTGGATAGGTGTTTAATTTGATAAGGAAATAATAATAGATTGGGATTCCCAATTCCATCACTGGAACTAGGATTTGAGAATTGCAGTAAGATTTGGATGCATAGAATTATCAAAAAATATAGTTTCTTTTTTCATTAAGATTAAATGGCATTTTTGCCCTTTAACTATTCTCGTAGGAACGTTTGATTTCTTAAACTTACATATGTTGTAATCTCCCTTCAGCATATGAAAATGGTGTATGGACACCTGACTATTAAAAAAAGTTAATTTTGACTATTAAAATTATAGAAAATGATCCAAAAAGTTACAATTAAATATCCTAGAAGAAAATTAATATTTATTAAGTCTCTAAAATAATGGTTAGTCAAAATTATATTTTAACCTTTTATATGGATAAAGAATAACATTTGTATCACATTGTTTATATATAATTTAGAGGACTTGATATTGATTTTCTTATAAGGTACTTATGTGTAATTTGATGGGATCTTTTTTGTCTTTTGCAGTTATTTTTTGCAACTTTTAAGTTAATTAATGGTCAAAATAAACTTTTTTAATGACTAGAATGCTCAATGTTTCATTTTTAAATTTTGAAAGGAAAAATTGTACTATATAAAAATTTAAGGTATCTCTTGAATGAATAATTAAAGAACAAAAATAACTTTTAACATATTTTTATCAAGTGAAGGGTTAGTAAAGTAATTTCATGAAAAAAGTAGATCCCAAATCATTCCTTAGGAGCTCAAGTGTTTTGGTCATTTTAAGGAACTAATATTAAATTTTTATATTTTGTCATTTTTTTTAATAATAATTTTATTTTTTATATTTTGTGTTTTATGGTAAAAAATATTTTATTTTTTAAAAATATAAGGAGTAATATTTTAAATAGATAAAATTATAGAAATTGAATTTTAATCACATTAAAACTATTGATAGCTTTCAAAAATTGAAACTCTCATTTGAAATGTCACTATTTATTTTATCTTGCTATCTTTCCGCCTTTGGTCTTCTTTTTAGTCTGTTTTATATTATTATCGTTAATTTTTAAGTCAAACATTTAATCATGTTAATTTTTATTTTAAATTTAAATTAAACCTATCTGACTCTATAATATTATGGAGCATATAAATAAAAAGAATCCCATGTAAATAAATATGTAAATTTAACATATTAAATTTTATATTATTTTAAAAATTTCAAATTTTTTAACATTTGTAATACATTATATTTATATAATAAAAATTATAAATTAATGTTTTTTTATTATTGAATATTCAAAAATATATTTTAAAAGCATAAATAATTATTAATACAAACAACTTTTAATTTATCATAATAATTAAAAAAATTTATTTAAATATAAATTTCGTTATAACAATTAATTTTTACTGGATTATTTGTTATCAAATAAACTTTTATAAACTAAAAATCAAACACTTTGTGAAATGTGAGTTACTCAAACATTTAACATGTATTTTTATGATATATATTCATCTCATATTTTTAACCCAAACATCTTTTAACTTTTGAAAATGTTAAAGCACTTTTAAAAAATTAAATGAAAAGGCTCAAATGGAGTCTAAAATTTTAAGTATGTGAAAATTGTAGGGTTAAATGATTAATTAATTTTTTTATATTTTTATGATTTTATATTTATAATTCCTAATTATAATTATAAATTATATTAATTATAATTATAATTATAATTATAACTAATTAACAAAACGCGTGACCCCTGCAAACACTAAAAACGCGTTAACGTATCAAAAGATAAAATATAGTCAACTGAAAAAGAGTCAAATCAAAAGATTGGGTGTTGGTTGGGGTTAAAAAAAGAAGTCTGGAAAATTCCAAATCCATGCGTTCGTCTTCTTGACAAATGCTTGTCTAGACTTGATGGTCAAGTATTCGTTGTAGGAACAGCATTGGTGGATTTCGTTTCCTTCGTCTCGCTGAAAGCTTCTCCTTTCAATCACAGCTAACATACAGAGATTGATTGGCCGAAGATAAAAAATACAGAGATTAGAGACAACAATCTAATTCATCCCTCCATATTATCGTCAGTTTGGCATCGATTTTTCCTTTACGGAAGACATTATTTGGGAATCTCTGTTCTCAATTGGTAAGTCTTAGGGTTCAATAGGGCCATCTTTCGTTTTCTTGATTCTGCTGGAGGAGTTTCTTTCGTTCCACAGGTATTCTTCGATCTCTGAATCTCTCCATGGTTAGGTAAGTTGGTGATTTTTTATTGGTAATGTGGTGGGTATTTTTCTGGTGTGTTACACAAGAAAACAATCGGCACTTTTCTTTCTTTCTGTATCAGGTGTTAAGTTTTGAATGCTCAGGCTATTTGACATAACAAGATGAAATTTCCAAATTCTGGATTCGTTGAAATTTGCCTGGCCAGCAAACAAATGTTTTCTGTTGACATGGAAATCGGAATATTTGGCAGCATTATGGTGCCTCATTCCTTTTCTATTTACCTATCAAAATTCGTTGTAATTAGCGGCAACAACCATGCTTGTCTCATATTTGATTTCTGCGGGGGGTTTCATTGTAGGGCTTTATAAGGATTTAGGTGTTTTATCAAATTTAATATCGGTTCAACCAGGATTAGATTAATTTCATAGTGAAGGGCTACATCTTTATTTCTTTATTTTGGTTGACCTCCTGATGATTGTAAAGGTCTGTGATTTGCAGCTATGCAGAGTCAGCTTGTGTGTAGTGGGTGCAGGAGCGTTTTGCTTTACCCTAGGGGGGCAACTAATGTTTGCTGTGCATTGTGCAACGCAATTACCTCTGTTCCTCCACCTGGTAAGCTTCTTTTGTAGCCTTGCTGTATGCCTAATAGATTGAATTAAGTGATAGCTTGTGTGGATTACATATTTAATTTCTAGTTCTCATAGTGATATTTTGTTTTGGACTTTGTAGACTAGTACATTTGAGGGAGAGGAAAATGAGTTACTGGATATGGAAGTCTATGATGGAAAAAATGTGGTTCTATGTTGATTCTTCTAATTGATTACTGATGCTGATTTGATGAGGGGACAAAGAATATTGAAAATAAACTCTTTTATGTCAAAAATGAATTGCACGTGAAAGGTTTCCAGACACTGTTGAGGATAATTTAAATTTCTTTATATGACATTGTATGTTTGATTATTGCCACTATTTCATTTTTTTTATATTTGTGAATAAATAGGAGATTCTAGTATAAACCAAAAATAGGTTCAGGTTATGCATGTCTCGCTTTCTAGGAAATTAGCATCAGGGGTATTTAAATTCTTCTTTGGCATTATAACACTATTTTAAAATGGTTAAATCGTTGCAGCACTGCATGGTGAAACTTAAATACCTTGTAAACTGTCAGGTGTGAAAACTTTGACTTAAAATGTTGATGGTAGCAGTGACAGCAAAAAAGGAAAAAATGGTAGTGGCATGTCTGTTACTAAAGAACTTCAGCTCAATCTGTTTCAGCTGAGATTATTGATGCTAAGTGTTGCAATACAACTGTATCTATATTTTTTTTGGGGTAGCTTATAAGGTATATTTTGTCACTAATGAGAAAGTGTTAAGAACTAGTTAATTGAAATCAGCCCAACTGGGGAACTAGAGTCCACAAATCAAACCAACTTGCAAATAATGCTCTAAGAATTAAGAATTAATTGTCATTGAGTATTGTTACTTTTGAATGCAAAGAAAAACCAAAAAAAAAAAAAAGAATAAAAGAAAAGTCCTCTAATTACTTGTATTTCTTTCTGTTGCTGAATTAAATTATGATTCCTTTCTGATCAATAATTGGTTTATATTACACTGAATCTTTTCTTTCCTTTGAAACATTTGTGTGCCTGTTCACATTTCAGGAGTTATAACATGTACTCGCCTCTAGGTTAGGTATTGAGCTTTGCAAGAGTTTTTATATAAATGAGATTGAGTGATATTCCCTTTCAATATTGATTTACATCCTTTGCGCTTGCGTTTTATGCTGATTATTGACTCTGGGTGCATGTTATAGGCTTAATGTAGAAACTATAGGCTAACATTCTGTAGGCAAGATAAGAGTATTCATGTGATCAGACTTTAATTGGATTCTTTCTTCTAAACGCAATTTTCTTATGATCCTAGGGATGGAAATGTCTCAACTTTGTTGTGGAGGTTGTAGGACATTGCTGATGTACACACGGGGAGCTACAAGTGTTAGATGCTCTTGCTGTCATACTGTGAACCTTGCACCAGGTGCAATAGAGTTGTATGTTGCTGGATATGTTTTAGTATTCCTTTATCTATTTTTAAGAACTGTGCTTTGATAATTTAATTTGCTTGATGGCATTTATGATGTTTTGATATTTCAACTGTGATGTTGGTTTTAATTGTATGCTTGATCATTGAGTATGTTGAAATATGTTGACCCTCTACATATCTCCATACTTGTCTTTCGTCTATGATTTGGAAAATATTTTGATCTTATGCTGCGTTTGTTACGTGAAAAAGGATTCGGTGAAAGGAAAAAGGTGAGGGAAACTACTTTGGTTGTGTTTGGTTGACGGTAAAATGACTTTCTTGGAGAGAGAACTTCCCATGTTTATGGGAGAGAGTTTTGCCATTTCTATTCCCTTTCTCATTCCCATTTCGTACCAAACGGCTGTGATGTTGTTTTTCCATGTTTGAATGGTTGCTATGGAACTTAAAATGTAGGGGAAGAAAAGCTTATGTTTAATTATAGATTGAGAAGCTAGTTGGTAGTTATTTTGTAATCATATACTTTTTGATCTGCACCCTGTGTAATATTTCACTTTTTGTTTTGCCTTAGCTGTGGAAGTCTAGTTTGTATTTATCAATGTATTTGAATTACAAATGAAAGTAATGCTGATCATTTTCTTTGAATTCCTCTACTTTTGCTACAATATTTGGTGCTTATGCAATGTTGGTTTTGTTGGTTCCCCCATATTCATCTCATGTCATTCAATTATTAATTCTTTGGAATGTTTTAATAAATTGATGGCTATCGGTCATTTATTTGTGTCTGGATTCTAACTAATATTCTGTTGTTGGCTTTTTTTTGTCTGCATCATAAAAAGCCCATATACACTGTGGGAACTGCCGGACAACTCTAATGTATCCGTATGGAGCTACATCAGTCAGATGTGCAGTTTGTCAGTATATAACTGATACTAGTGTAAGTGTATAGCAACTCAGCAAGTGATAGAAGCAAGTTAATGTTTACCTTCAGGCTGCTAAATATAGTTCGCTTTGTGCTCCTTGATCATGTGATATTGTTTTAGCTAAATATTCAGGTGATTTCCTGCAGTCAGGTGCATGTAACAAATTTCCAGAATTGATTGTTTCTCTGTGTTCAATCACACTTTCTATATATATATATGTGTTGGTGGTTATGAGCCAGAAACCTCGATCAATATTATTCAGGAATATTGGCAGCATATATACAAGTTATAAGAATTGTTTATAGAAGGAAATAAAAAACAAATATTAACCCTATTGAACCTCTCTTATCAAATTTCTATAATTATGGAATGAATCCCTCTAGTGTGTGTGTGTATCTACTTAATTATTCTCACACTCTCCCTCAAGTTGGATCATAGATGCTAATTATGTCCAACTTACATATACAACTTTCAAGCTCGGGTTTGTGTAGTCCTTTCGTCAACATGTTTGCTGCTTGGATATTTGTTGTTAGGAAAGTTAGCCATATGATTCCATCTTCCACCTTCTCTTTGATGAAGTGCTTGTCTATCTCTACATGCTTGAATCTCTCATGTTGGATAGGATTCAATGCTATACTTATGGCAGCCTTATTATCATAATACAGTTTTTGAGCTAGATCAAGCTGAACGTGGATTTCTTCCAATATCCTCCTTTAACCACAATTCTTCCATTATGCCTTGAGCAAGTGCCCTTAACTCGGATTCAGCACTACTTTTGGATACAATTCTCTACTTCTAACTTTTCCAAGTAACCAGACTTTCCCACACAAATGAGCAATACCTAAAGTAGATCTCCTATCTAAGTGATGTCCACCCCAATCTGCATCTGTATAGACTCCTATAGTCCTCTGTTCATGCTTTTAAAACAGTAAACCTCATCCAGGTTTCCCTTTAGGTACCTTAGGATTCTGTATGCTGTTTCCATATGTTTTTCCTTTGGTTCACACATATATTGACTAGCTACACTCATAGCAAATGCTATGCTAGGTCGTGTGTGTGATAGATAGATAAGTTTTCCAACAAGCATCTAGTATCTCTCTTTATCCGTTGGCTTCTCTTTCTCTTTGTCCTTCTCTTCCTCAACATGGTCGTCTTCTTCCTCTGAACTGCCTTCTTCTTTCTTGGATTTTTGCCTCTTCCTTAGAACAACAATGAGGGTTTCAACATGTTTACATCCCAACATACTTGTCTCCTTTAAGAGATTAAGTACATACTTCCTTTGAGACACATAAATGCCTTGCTTTGATCTTGCAACTTCCATTCCCAAGAAATACGTCAAACAGCTGAGGCCCTGAACCTTGACTTCTTTTCCCAAAATAGCCTTTACTCTTGCCACTTCCTCACTATGATCACCAGTGATGTTTATATCATCAACATATGCAATAAGGACACACTTCTTACTTTCCTCTACTTTAATGAACTAGTATGATCTGATAGTCTTTGGTTGTAGCCTTGTAGCTTTAGGACTTTTGAGAATCTATCATACCACACTCTTGGAGACTGTTTCAACCCATATAAGGATTTCTTTAATTTACATATACATACCTAACTCTCCCTTCCTTTATCAAATCTAGGAGGCAGGGTCATTTCAACTCTCCATTTAGGAAGGTTTTTCTGACATCCAGTTGGTGTAAAGGCCATTTAAGATTGGCCACTACAGATAACAATACCCCCAGAAATATTTTGGCACATTTGTGGTAAACATAAGAGCATGGGCAACATCAAGCAAGTGTCTATTTTTGTGTTCAGCTACCCAATTTTGTTGAGGTGTATTTGCACAGAAAGTTTATAGATGATACCTTGAGTTTTAAAGAAGTTACCTAAAGACTTGGTTATGGTATAGAATTCAATAAAGATAGAGTGTACCTTAGATTTATCTCTCATTAAATACACCTAACACACATGAGTATGAACATCAATAAAGGTAACAAACCACTTGATTCTAGTTCGATTAGAGACACAAGATGGACCCCATACATCGCTATGAATGAGGAAAGGTTTAGAGGGCTTATATTTAGACTGCGGAAAAGAAGAGCGATGATGTTTGGCCAATTCACAAATATCGCAATGAAACTATAAATTTTATTAGATGAAAATTGAGGGAACAATTGACTCAAATATTGGACATTGAGATGACTCATTCTTTTATGCCATAATAAAAGATTAGTTTGTTTAGAAGTAGACACAAGGTTGTAGTAGATTCGAGACCATATATTACTCATGGTTGATTCATTAAGGTTGTAGTAGAACCTATCACACTTCTCAACACTGCCAATCATTTTCCTTGATGAGAGATCTTGGAAAATACAGTGAGTAGAGAAGAAGTGAGCCCTACATTTGGCATGTCTAGTTAACTTGCTGATAGACAATAAATTGCGAGCAAGACAGGGTATATGAAGACAGAGTCAAGGTGCAGAAATTTATAAATAGTCATACTACCTTTTCTTGCAATGGGAGGGGAGATACCATTTGCCATATCAATTTTTTCATGGCCATTGCGATGAAAGTATGAGATGAACAAAGTGGAGTTTGCAGTGACGTGATCTGAGGCTTCGGAATCAACATTCCACCGAGATTTAGTGGAACATACATTGAATGCAAAGTGAGAATTACTTGCTTGGCAATAGAAGCATTATGAGATATAGAAGGTGATTGGTTGGATTGTAAGGTATGAAGCATCTCCAGAAGCTTATATAACTGGTCCTTATCAATGGTGGGTAAGGCACTAGATTTGTTTGGAGTAGGACTAGATTTGTCCGGAGTAGAATCAGAAGTAGTTTGATAGCTACAAGATTTACCTTTACGTGGTTTCCAGTCAGGTGGTTTTCTGTGGAGTTTCCAATATTTATCCTTTGAGTTGCCTGTCTTTTTGCAATGCTCTCACACAATTTTCCCTTTTGAGTCCTTTTAGCCTTGATTAGATTATCTGCTCCCTAAGGCAGAAGGCTCAATGAGGGAGGAGTAGAGAAAGGTCTGAGTAACATCGCCTTGCGATGAGAAGCCTTATGACAAACCTCAGCAAATGCATCACGAGTAGATGGTAGTGGAGAGCGAGCCAGAATGCGATTACGGACATCATCTAATGATTGATGAAGGCCAGCCAAGAATTGAAATAGTCACTCATCTTCAATAAGCTTCTTGTATCGTGCTACATCACTAGGACAGGACCACTCAGCTTCTACAATGAGATCAATCTCTTGCCACACTGAAACTAACCCCAACCAAACTTTAGTGAGATCACGCACACCCTATTTGATTTGCCAACTTTGAGTCTTGAGATCATAAATTCGAGCACCATCTTTATCATTGAGTAGGACTCCTTGACTGTATCCCAAATATCCCGTGCTGTCGGGAGGAACATAAATGATCGTCTAATTTGAGGAATCATGGTGTTGACTAATCAAGAGCCTACCAAAGAATTTTTAGTCTCTCATTTTACTAAAGCAACCGAGCCTAATGTGTTTGGAGGTTTAGAGGTACCTGAGATGAAACCTAGCTTTCCATGACCTCCAACAACTAGTCGAATACTTTGGGCCTGCTCAACATAATTGGTCCTATTGAATTTTTCGGACACATGTAGCAGAGACGTCCCCTTGGCAGAACTCAACCCAAGGGGAGTTCCGCCATTTGGGGTTGTTTTTGAGTCTGTCTTGGCACCAAAACCCCTGAATGTGGAGGGCTAAGTGCACAATTTGGACTCTTGCGTGGTTTTGTCTTCTTCATCTGAGTGGTTGAGGTCGGTGTCTGAGAGCTTTGATACCATGCAGTGTTTATGAGCCAGAAACCTCAATCAATATTATTCAAGAATATTGGCAGCATATATACAAGTTGCAACAATCATTCATAAAAGGAAATAAAAAACAAATATTAACCCTATTGACCCTATCTTGTCAAATCTCTATAATTATGGAATGAATCCATCTAGTATATCTATATATATCTATTTAATTATTCTCACAATATATATATTTTTTTCCATGGCTACTGCATTCTCCCTCATGTAATGGATCTGGATGATTATAAGTGTTTGGATGTATATTTCAGGGTCTAGATTCCATGCTTATTCTAGTATTATTGAGATACAGATTACAGAATAATGACTAAAATGAACAATAAAGATGAAAATTTAAGCTACAAAATCTTGCGTCTCATCAAGTATACTTCAGTTTTTCTATCTAGGGGAATCATCGAAATCATGTATACTTTACTGTGAAAATTTTCTTGACTGAATGATAATCTTTCTGGTGTTACACTCAGATTTTGTAGTATAAAAGGTTGAATAAGCAAATTTTGCACTGTATTCCTACTTTGGGTAAGGAAGATGCAATTGTTGAATGGACAAGAATACTAAGAATTGTTGCGAGCTATCTCTGCTTGGGAGTTTATTGAGGGAAAGGGAGAAGCAATTGTTATTTTGTTTACTAGTTTTGTTCATATGAAGAGATGGTACATTGTATTTCCTTATGGTTTCAGCTCTACTTGGTAACTTGGTATTGAGAAATTTCTAGGTTCTTCAATCATGAAGATCACATTTAATTATTTTCTGAGTCACCTTTTTGTACCATAAACATTAGATTGTTTTCATTCTCCATTTCTTTTTCTTTTTTTTTTTTTTGGTTTTTGGGTTGTTTCCTCACTAAGATCACAAAAATAAAGGATTGTGTCTATTGATTTTATGTTTTAACTTTTCTCTCCTTATCATTGTTTACTTGTTATACGGGCAACCTCGATTTGGGACCTCATAGGTAGGGGAAAATAGGAAAATATAGGGATAAAATATTCACTGCAAGTTCCTACTCTTTTATTTTAGTATAACGCCCAAAAAAAAAAGGTCCCTTTTGAGATGTTTAAAAATGATGCAAGTCCTCATTTTGGAGGTTTAATAAGGGAACTTAGGCATTTATCATGTATTTTATGTTTTATGCACTTTAGCTGATCTGTTCACCTCTTCTATTTGTCTTTTTTAGAGGACCAATGGAAGGGTTCCCAATCCTGTCCACAGACCAAATGGAACAACCAATTCTGGAACAGCACCTTCTACTTCAACGGTTGGTTGTTCTCTTTTGTGATTATTCGTACTAGGAACGTGTTGAAAGTTTACTGTGCTTGTATCGAACTAAGATTCATCTTATTTTATTTCTTATCTCAGTCGATGCCCCATTCTCAAGGCCAAACTGTTGTGGTGGAAAATCCCATGTCTGTTGATGCAAGTGGGAAATTGGTAAGCTATATTTTCCTTTCTTTTTGTTGGATGTGTTTCACCTTATGAATTTGACAATTTCTTTCAATCCTTAAAAATGTCCCAGGTGAGCAATGTTGTTGTTGGCGTAACAACAGAGAAGAAATAATGTCCATCTAGTTATTACGCCGGTCTTGAACGGTACGCTGTTTGAGGCATTACCAGTGTCTGGCACCCAATTGTGATGGATATCTTGTGTATATGATTTTGGAATATGCTTCCTATGCCAGAGGCTTTTTCGAGTGTTTTTAAGGTATGTATGTATATCAAGAGGTCGGTCAGCGGAAGGAATCTTTCATTTGTGTGATTATGAGATTCCTCTTTCAGCCAAATCAGTTGATTCATTCAGATTATTTCTTGACTTGTGGGGATTGTGGTGACTTGATCAACTTGTGCTTTTTATTGATGATTTTTCCGTTTTTACAAGTTTGTACGTGTATTATTTGTATGGTTGTGTTTATAGTGATGTTAAAGCCTAGGCTTCTTCCGCTAGAGGAAATAATATAATAAGCTATAAGCTATGAACAAATATATTTATCTTGTTGATAGTTTCGTTTTGTGCACATGTGCCGAGTTTAGACCTTTGAAAATCATTACTCTCTTTAAATCACAATATACATCATAGTTAATTAATTCATGGTTTACAACCCAGGTTAATTAAATTTAATGTCCACGTCTTGATGATAGTAATTAAATTTTAATGCATGATTTTTTTCTCTAAAAGAGTAATAAATGATTTAGGGGTATGATTGAAAAAAAATATAAAAGTTATTTAATATTTTATATTTTGGACCAAGCAATGATTTTAGATGTTTTATATTGTAGTTCAGAGGAAGTATGTTACAATTTGAATGTGAATTTAGAAACAGAACAAAGTTGGATTTGAAGACATTTGAAGACAACTTCTCAAGTTTACTAGGCAAGGTTGATGATGGGTACTTGGTGAAAAAATGAATAGTTTTTATTTTTTAATAAATTCATCGCTCAATAAATATGAGAGTATTATCACCTATTTAAATTAATTCAAACTTCTGTTTTGTGGGATTGTTGACTCGAAATTTTAAAATAAGTTGATTTAACTTCCTTAATGAGTTAAACTAAGTGCTCTCAATAAATGGGTGTAGTTTTAGTAACCATCTTAGACTTTTTTTAACGTAAAAAACTTGTTAATACCTGACTCATTAAGATGTCATATTAAATCAATGTTACTATTGAATGGTTTCAATATTTAGTAGTTTGGTGTCCTGTATGTTGAACAAAATATGAAAAGTGAGTCATTGATATTATGAACTTACTACTATTTTCTTTTCCAATATCTCGAGTACTAATATTAAAATGAAATTTCAAAGGATCCAAACATGTATAATATAAAATTGGATCGAGCATGTACCTGTTGCAGTTATAACTTCTTTATGCCTTGAACCATTGGCAAATGATAGAAAGTTGATTTAAAAGGTATTTTTCCTCTTTCTAACAAGTTTTTAAATCATATCAAGTATTATCAAGTTTAGTCACATGTTTTTTTTAAGTCCAATAAAAATTATATGTTCTCAAACTCTTTCAAGTCCCAACAAGTGGTATGGCCAATTCTCTCTCTCTCTCTCTATATTTTTTAAATACAAGGCCACATTAAATATCCAGGCAAAAAGATGATAAATCAAGTTATGTGCATTTATTCATTTATTTAAATGTGATTAAAAATAAATAATTATTTAGTCTCTCATAACAAATTTCATAATTTTTTTGATAATTTTAATAAGGGGAGAATTCGTGTGGGATGAGTGAGTATAAAGATCTTAAAGGGTGATTTGATGCTATGAATATGATTGTGAGGGCAAATTCATGCAAGAACCCCAGGAAGCCTAACTGAATATAGATTTTTGGGTACAACAGAACATACATATTTAATATGCGAACGAACAACCAACCCCAAATCCTATAAACAATCTAGATAGGTATCTTTAGAACCATTTTATGAATGTAAAATCAGCATTTAACGGTACCGTTTTCATCATAGAAAGCATAATATTTTATAGATGTTTTGCAAAGATACCATTTTATGCATTCCTAAGCCGTTTAAGATTATCTCATATTCGTCTAAGAGAAGCGAGCCTCTTTTCAAGTTCCTCCACATCTTGGATTTCAGCCCTGCTTGCATTCAGAGAAAAAGTACAGGAATCAGCATCAAATAAGGGCACTTTTTTCAGCTTATTTTATGACGAAATTAGTTTTTTTTTTATTTCATTAAAAGGTACTATTGATCAACTGGTTACATAAAAATAAGGGCATTTTAAAAATAAATCTGAATATAATCAGACCTCTGAATATTTTGAAAAGCTTTTGAGTAATTTTAAAAAATACTTTCACGTACAGAGTTTTTTGTATGATTATTAGCCAAACATAAAATAATTTCTACTTTTCATACAATTTCTAAACAATAAATCATTTTTCAGATTGCTCAAAATCACTTTTGAAGTTGATAATGCAGTCATTCGAGCCCTTGGAACAATGCGCGTAAGAACAAAACAAAACCAACAAAATTTTGGTGGAGATAACTAAGAGGCCTTCTCAAAAAGGAATAGCAAAATTATTTACCCTGTAGCGACATTTTCAACATTCCTTGAAGCAATCCGACCTTTTGGAGCAGAAGATAACTGCCATCAGAAAAGATCAGAATCAACCTCAACTGTTAAAGTAATACAAAGTACAGAAAAAGTACGAAAGAAACAGCAGACTATAATTATTCATTAAGTTAAAAACCAACCTGTGATGCAATGTCCACACCAATCTCATCAAGAACCTGTCATGCATGAACAAAACAGTAAATACCGTGAAGCAAACAAGGACCTGAACTATGAAAGCTAGCTAACTAACTTTCTTTATCAACATTAAAGCTAACTACTGTCTATTCAGAGTTTTATTCACCTGGTTAGTGAGCTCTTCTGTTTCTTCCTCAGCTTCATCTTTGTCTAAAGTTTCATCAATAGCTTCTGACATCATCTCAATCTGCATTTAACACAATAATATCGTTAAAAATAGGGAGCGACTACTTGAAAACAAGAGGAGAAAACAAATAGACAAGATGCAAAAAAAAAGTCACATTTTAACTCAAAATCTCAAAGTTCAAACTTTTTCTAAGTTTTTTCACTTTATTATATATTAATTATTAACTTCCAACTTTATCAAATATGGACTTCCCACGTTGACTCAAGTCTAGTCATAGTCACACTTGGACACCTTAAAAAATATAAATATAACATGGAACCAGAAAAAAGGGCAAAAAAAAAAAAAACTCACATAATAAAAGACATTTGAAGAAATTGGTCTCAAAGGGTTTTGGGTGAGCTTGCTTGGTTACCCAAGCTATCTATCAGGCAGGCAAGGCAACTGCTTGTTCTTGTTTACTTATAAAAGCTTCTACTTTGCAAGCGGGTGATGGGTACGCCTAAGTGGGATGAGAAACCCTACTTCAAAAGCTAACTATTGAGGGGGGAGAACTAACCCACTTAAATACCCCTTTGAGCATCGTGTGCTACTCAATGTGCTTGATATCCCATACTATTAAGTCTCCATTAGTAGGTAAAGAGGAGGGTCAATAAACTCATAGCATAATTAATCAAGAAATAAGACCAACCTTTTTCACTCAACAAAGTCATGGCAACAACTCTTTTGCAGCATTTCTGTTCTGCCTCCTCTTTTATTAAAGGTTTGCATTTTTGTTTCTGAACAAGATTGCCCAAGTCACAAGCTCTTGCATCAATCCATAATTCTGTGGTGCATCCCTCTGCCCAAGTCACATTTTATTTGCCCAAACTTTCTTTCATTCGTTTTTCCCTTCAATGATTTATACATCTCTATTTGTTAATTTTTCAATGTTCTTACATTGCTCAATCGGTGCTCTGTCTTCTGTAACATTTTAATTTCTCTTCATTTCACATTTGCGACAAGCTTGTTCAATGTAAAAACTTCGTTTTTTTTTTGTTTGGGGCAGAATGGTCTTAACAGTTTATTTTCCCCCCATTTCACTTTCACTTTTTAGTGCAACCTTTGTCAGGGCAGGAACCCACATTCTTAACCTTCTATACGCCAGATTTGTTTCATGGAATCAAGGACTCATTGCCATGATCTCTGGGGACTAAACAGTAATTATAAGTTGACCGGTGGAATATTGTAACATAAAATTGTATTACTCCCTCTGAAATATTGTATAAATAAATGGAGTCAAGGGGGAAATGGGAGGAAAAAAAAAAGAAGAGGTATGCTTTAACCTAGAGCCTCTCTCTATCTCCCTCACTCATGTTTATGGTTTTTTAGGTTGAAAAAACCCAAAATTAAAGGTCATCAATCTGAATAGGATAGTATATGTTGAGAACTGATATAATCTTAATTATTTCATCCAACATTAATGCAACAACATAACTGCATGGGAAAACATCAGAACATATGCTAAAAAAATTGTTACCGTCATGTCCATTTGTGCTGACTGCTTTTGGAATTCTTTGATCACCTTTGCCTGTTTTGCAGGTTCCATTTGCTGAAAAGAGAAGTAAGATAATGATTACAATGTAATTAATATAAGTCTTAGCAGATCTGGGAAAGCGCTCAGACAATAAACCACTAGCAATATTTTTTGACCAAAAGCTCCCTGGCAATATGATTTTTTTCCCCCCTTCGGGCCAACTACTAGCATGTGATGCTCAATCACAAAGATTTGCATTTTAAGTGAGAATATTATTAACTTATGAATGATTCACAATAGGCAGTTGTTGAATGAAAAAAAGTTCGCCTTCTTTGATTTGTTAAAGACAACATGAAAGTGGTTTAGAATTCAGTCCTTGCTACCCTCATTCTCATAATTAGAATAAACTTTAGCATAAGGTTTGGCGGGCACGTACTTTCCTCACACTTAAAGCATGAGGCTGTGTTGAAGGTAAAAATAAAAAATATGGTGTCTTCTTCCAATAATTAAGCTCTAAGGAAAGTTTTTCTCCGCATGTATAAAGCAAGGTTCTATCTGAAACATTACAGTATTCTTTCAATGAAATCACTATGAGCTAAGTAAAGGAAATTATCTATTACATATATGGTCCATATTATGTTTGACTCTTTCTTCAAGTAGGCCTTGTATATGATAGTCAAGAACCTTTTGACCCCTATGTCTCATGATGAGGGTAGGCTGAAGGTGTATACTTGAAGAGTTTTAATCAACACAATGACGAGTCAGATATGAAACGTACCTTGTTCATTGCTGCCATTGCCTTACTTGCACCTTTCATCCCAGTGGACATTGAAGTGCTTGCATATAATGCCTGAGGAAGACATATGGACAATCTAAAAATTAGAAAATAAGCAGTTTGTTATCATCATAAGAACAAGGCTCCTCTTCCAACCTGAGTATGAGTTGCAACACCCCTTATCTGAGCACGACTTCCCTGTAAATTAGTTATCTGTTGGCGTAACCTAACAAGCTGACGAGCCAAGATTCTTGTAGCTGCCTGTAACCAGACACTTGTTCAATCAAGATTGCGTAT